TTGGCTAAAACTAAGCTGCAAAGCACAGTAAGTTTCAAGGTATTTTCCACTGCTAGATCTATCCAGCTTTCCTATGGATATGCATATTGGAAAATGTTAAGTCGCAATTCACAAGCAATCACATTTAGATTTACAGACATTTTCAGCTTACTGATAAAAAGATCATTACCTGTGATGGATCATTTGCGGTCAAGTTTCTCCCCAGTACATTTTGTTTCAGTGCAAACCCACTGTTTCTCATCTCCGCTATTAGCTCTGAGGGGTGCATTGATGGCCCTGTTCACAAAAATCACAGTTTGAATGTATCATTTATATCTCTCTACCTTTTTTGGACTCCACAGTAGGAATTCAGCTGAAGCTTTGTTAAGTGAAATCACAGCTAAATCAACTCAATAATCTTCTGCTGAGCAAATAATCAGATATGATTTTCTAAAACAGCAGTCTGGAGATTCAGAATAGAAAATAATTGCATTTTTCTTTAAGTGCAAGGGGATTCTCTTCTTATGTAACTTTGTCTTGTTGAAAACAATATATTTAGGTATTGTGTGGTTGTATGCTTTTGATTGTAGTACAAAAAATATAGAAAGCCTAGAACAGCCATATTAAGTTCAAGATTTTTTAACACTTCCTCTCTCCAAAAGCAATAAAAAACCACAATTTAAGGGGACATTATAGCATTTTTCATAATCATACAATACACATTTAGTTCAATCAAACAATAAACAAACTTAAAATAAAAACCCACTGAAAGCTGTGGATATGGGAGGGGGGGAAGGAGAAGACAAGAAGTCAGCACCCTTACTTATTCTCTCCTCCTTCCCCCTTATATTTGAGTGGTCCCTGGGTTATTACTGTAGGGTTCTTCATGAATCTCTATTGTAATAGTTTGAAAAAATAAATAAAACAAACCTCATTAGAACACTTGTTTTGGAGTACATGTAGATTATATCTGTTTGCAAACAGATAAAAGAGTAAAATATAGGTAGCTCTATTTTTGGAATTATCTACTACAATAATCAAGTTTCCTAATATGGCAGAAGTTATTTCTGATTTTCTAACACAGACTGGACAGATAGCTCTTGTTAGTTAAACTTTGCTGATAGTGATGCAATATTATTTTCCTTTCAGTAAATTTAACTACCGAATAGTTGATTATACAGTGATTCAATATTGCCTTATCAATGGATTGGTAAATTGCCTTCAACAGATGTATTGTAAATAATGAAGTTACATTTTATCAAATGCAACAATTATGTGTTGAAAGTCTCAAGAATTTCAAGATTTTCAGAGGCCATAATTCATTTTGGAGATCAACAAACTTCTCACAAATCTTTAATGTAAAACATCACTGCCTGAAATTTCTCAGCATTTAATTGAGGTCCACAATTTATTGGCTATGACATGAATACAGTTATTGTAACTGCAAATGAACATATGCGTAAGATAGAAGTTAAGAAGTTAAAAAATTGCTTTTTCAAATATGCTTAAAATGGTATCAACTTTTTTATTACAGATTCTTCAGAAGTTTCTAACATTACATGATTTTATCTGAGGAGGTGACTTTTTATTTCTCTAGGGGTACGTCTAGACTACAGGCTTTTGTCGACAGAGGCAACAAAGAGCATCTAGACTACATCCTGTTCTGTTGACAAAGCAAGCCGCTTTGTCGACATGAAAGTGTAGATACAAAGGACAGCGTCGATGCAATAACGCCTTCTGTCTACAAAAGGCGTTATTCCTCATAGAATGAGGTTTATCGCTGTTGACAAAACTGCCGAGTTCTGTCGATATTATGTTGACAGAACTCAGCAGTAGTGTAGACGCAGGCATAGTTTTGTCGACAAAAGTCCACTTTTGTCGACAAAACCCTGTGGTCTAGACACACCCTGAAATTATTTGTAAAGAATGCATTATATACCAAAGACTGTTTTTCTTCTAAAATAATTGAGACCAGAGGATGCATGTACTGATCATCTTGTTTATATTTTCTTTCAGTTTTGTGTTTTAGTTTTAAATACTGACTGAAGAGAGGTGGGAAATGTAGTGAGCTCTAACTCCTAGGCATTTTTGTGCATGCCTGTCATTGATTAGAGCTATCTATGGTGACTATGAAATACCAACAAGGCTATGTACAACCACAAACAAAACATATAAATATTGCCATGAAGGAACTATTATGATTTATTAGGGAAAAGTAGTTGAATCATACTGATACAAGAAATTCACAAGAAATTCAACATATATAGCATCTCAGTATGCCACCAAACCTTAAAGAAATGTACTAATAATGTAATATATTTTAATTACATAATCTGTCATGACAGATTAACTGGATGCAAAGGAGAAAGATGTGACTTTTCAATTCTGTTTGAAATGGTGTCTATGCTGGATACCTTTTGACTGGCATTTTCAGAAAGATGTGCTAACTGAAATGGCAGTTCTTCTCCGAGTGCCTTCATATGTCCATTCCACCTAGGTGTGCGTGTGCTGTGTGCATGAGTTCTGGAAGCTTTTTACCCTTAGCAGTATCTGTTGGGCCAGCCAGGAAGCCTCTTAGAGTAGTGCTGCTATACCGGCCCATATATACCCCTCCATCCCATCAGTTCCTTCTTACCACCTGTGAGGGTCTCTGGAACGCTTTGCTTGCTCCTTTGCAAGTACACCCTTAGACTTTTTTTATCTTATCTCTTGTAAATAGTTGTCATTAGGGTAGTCTTTAGTTACCTTACATTAGAATTGTTGTTTTGCATCCTTATTTCCCTCGAGGGGGAATGATGGGCTCTCACAGCTTTAAGCTCTGTGCACAGTGACAAAAGCCCATGCCCTGTGGAGACCCTCATGAAGAGTGTCTTAAATGCCTAGGAGAGAGTCCTTTGATGGACTCGTGCAACATCTGTAGGTCGTCCAAACCCAGAACCAAACGCGAGCGTAACTCTCAGCTAAAACTATTGCTCATGGAGCTGGCGCTTCAACCTGTGGCATGAAGTCCTGCACTGTTGGTGAGAAGTGAGCTGGCATCAGTGTGTGAAGTGGGTGTCACGCCGAGGAACTCTGTGAACTCAGACTGCTCGTCGGCACTGGTCCCAGTCCCCGGCACTGAGGACATCCAAGAAGGTGCAGAGAGGGAGATCACAGTCGAGACGAGAGCACAGGGTGCATCTGCAGGTGGGCCACCCGAAGGCTCTGTCTTCGCCTAGCTGTGACATTGCTCCATAGGTGCAGGTCGAGTTCCATGTGGGTGAGTAGTTAGGAGGTCCAGGACCTGTTGGTGGAAGAGGTCCTGGAGTCATTGGCTCCAGAAATGTTTGCTGCGGCCCATGAGCTCATCGAGCTCACGTCAGGGGCCGGGTGTTTCAAAGTTGGCCTCGGCCTCAATTTTGGTGTACTTGGGACATAGGGGGACCCTGTTGTCTACACCTCTTGCTTGGGCACTGCCTTCGGAGTCCATGGTTAGCCCATCAGGGACTATAGGGGCTCCAGTGCCTGTGCAGCAGCCAGTCCTGAGTGAGCCAATCTCAGCCAATCACTGCAACAGCACATGAGGCCCCCTGAGGAGGTGGCACTGCCTAGAGACTCATCATCCTCTTCCCCTGATGAGGCACTGGCTGACTCGTCTCTGGCCACGGACATGCGCACCCACTAGGAACTCCTTAGGAGGTTGGCTGTAAACCTGGGGGTTCAGGTGGAGAAGGTGACAGAGGAGTCTGACTTGATGGTGGACATCTTGGCTGTGGATGACCCACCTAAGACTGCCCTACTTCTCTATAAAATGGTGGTCAAAATTACAAAGACCCTTTGGCAGACACCAGCATTCATTCCACCAACACAGAAAGGAGTAGAGAGGCGATACTTTGTACCAGTTAGGACATGAATACTTGTTTGTCCACCTGGCCCCCAGCTCTGTTGTAGTGAAGGCTGCATGCCAAAGGGAGAGGCAGGGCCAGACTGGGCCTGCCCCCAAGAGTAAGAAACCAAAAAAGCTGGACCTCTTGTGGAAGAGGGCATACGTCACCGCAGGCTTGCAGATGAGTATTGCAAACCAACAGGAGATGTTCAGCACATACACCTGTATCAACTGGGCGGTGGTCAAGAAGTTTAAGGACCAACTTCTGAAGGAATCCCAAGAGGTGTTCAGGGCTCTTACGGAAGATGGAGTGGTGTCTTGGACACTGCTGATTTGGCGGCAAGGTCGTGGCCACACGCATAGTAATGCACTGAAACTCATGGTTGCAGGTATTGGGTATTCCATGTGAAGTCCAATCATCCCTGCAGGACCTGCCCTAAGAGGGGTTGGCGCTCTTTTCAGAGGAAACGGACAGCATACTACATAGCCTGAAGGACTCAAGGGCAACCTTGAAGTCCTTGGGCATTCACACCCCAGTCCCGCAACGCTGCTCCCTTAACCCTAGGTCACGGAGACTGTTCCAGGAGGGCTCCAGGCAGGAGGGTAATACAAGGCAGAACAGGAGCAACAACAGGGCCAGATGTAGATGATCTCAGTCAGCTTCCTATCAGGTATAGGGGTCCTCCAACAAAACCCAGGGCCCAAGATTAGGGTTTTGAAGTTGCCCATGAGGACAGACTACCATCCACTCCTATATCATTCCTTCATCAATAGACTCTTCCCCTTCCACCGTTCTTGGCATTCCATCACCACGGACCACTGGATCCTTGAGATGGTGGTGGGGGAATACTCTATCCCATTCCTGTCCTTGACACCCTCCCACCTCCATTCCCCATCTCATGAGCACCTCCTATGACAGGAGGTCCACTTGCTCCTCATGTTGGGGGCAGTAGGAGTGGTTCTATGAGAGTTTCAAGAGAAAGGGTTTTACTCCCAGTACTTCGTCATCCCAAAGTCCAAAGGAGGCCTTCACCCGATTCTAAATTTCAGAGGACCCAATGCCTTCAGAAAGAAATCAAGGTTCAGGATGGTGACCCTCGCATCTATCATTCCTTCCCTCAATCTAGGGCACTGGTATGCTGCCGTCAACTTGAAGGATGTGTACTTCCACATTTCCATTATCCCTTCCCACAGAAGGTACCTCCGTTTTATAGTTGTCACGGACCACTACCAGTTCAGAGTGCTTCCATTTGGTCTGTCCACTGCCCACAGAGTATTTACCAAATGCATGGCAGTGGTGGCCATCTTCCTCAGGAGGAGGGGAGTGCAAGTCTTCCCTTATCTGTATTGGCTCACGAGGGGCCACTCCAAAAGCCAGGCATTGGCTCAAATAGGCCTGGTCTGAGAAATCTTTTTCCACCTAGGGCTCATGCTGAATGACAAAAAGCCACTCTTGACCCCACGCAAGTAATAGAGTTTGTGGAAACAAGGCTGCATCCAGGCTCACGGCAATGAGGGACATCGTTCTGAGGCTTCAGGCCACACCTCTGACCATGGCAAGAAACTATATGAGATTTCTGGGTCATATGGTGGCCTGCACGTACATAGTGAAGCACGCCAGGCTACACCTGTGCCCATTACAGACCTGGCTAGCAAGGGCCTACAGACTGGCCCGTGCTCACATCAACATGGTGACCATCATCCCACCAGAAGTCCTGTCTACTCTGGACTGGTGGCTACAGAAAAGGGAGGCGTGTGGAGTCATCCCCTTTGTCCAGCAGCAGCCCTCGATGCATTTGGTGACAGATGCCTCTGATATGGGATAGGGAGTCCACCTGGCTGACCTAGAGACCCAAGGTATGTGGTCCTAAGCAGAGCAATCACTGCATATCAACGTCAGGGAGCTAAGGGCAGTTTGACTGGTGTATCAGGTGTTCCTTTTCGGGCTAAGGGATAACTGTGTCTCAGTGCTGATGGACAACACAACCGGGATGTTTTATATCAATTGACAGGGTGGTGCTCGATTGTCTCCCTTCTGGCAGAAAGCCCTAGCCCTCCGGGGCCTCTACACTGTGCAAGATATCCACCTTCAGGCCTCCTACCTACTGGAGACTCACAACACCCTGGCAGACAGACTCAACAAAGCATTTTCCACCCACAAGTGGTCCCTGAGGGAGGATGCAGCCCACTATCTTTTCCACAGGTGGGGAACTCCCCACCTAGACCTGTTCACCTCAGATACCAACAAGTAGTGCGGCCGATTCTGCTCTTACATGAACTGGTGCCCAGGGTCAATGGGGGGATGCCTGTTAATGAGCTGGGTCCTTAGCCTCATGTATTCATTCCCACCAGTACACAAAGTCCTGTTGAGGATGCAGAGGTACAGGTCGTCCGTGATTCTGGTGGCCTCAGTGTGGCCGAGGTAGCACTGGTATACCACTCTGGTGTCACCGTCAGTGGAGGACCCCATCTCCTTGCTGCTCCTGCCAGACCTGTTGACACAGGAGCTGGACCAGGGTCACCTGTGCCACCCAAACCTGCAATCCTTCCACCTCAACCTGGAAAATCTGTAGTTGAGGGGTGGGGAATGTCTATGTTCAGACCCGGTTAGGTGGGTACTGATGGAACTAATGAGCTAGAATGGAATCTCTCTGAGCCATCCACTGACAGGCTTTATATGGGGCTATTCAGCCTTTTGCAAAGACTATTGTCTCCCAATTACTCACCAGGTGTGTGAAATTAAATAGGTGTCAAGGGGGGAAAAAAAAGTGCAAAAAAACCAAAAATCAAGTTTTGAACAATCTGAATAAATATCACTATAATTCTGTTGGCGTTTGTGATTTTACTAGTTGTTTAAGCCACCCATAAAGCATCTTTTTTTGTTGGCTCAGTTGCTATAAAGTGTCTACTGAACTGGTTTAATTTGATTCCCCCTCCTCTGCCCCCCACCCCAAGGAATATCCTTTTAAGGGATTTTTCTGGCAGCACACACCTAGTGGTATGATTCCTGTGGCACAAGGGCATATCAGAGATGGGGACATGTGGCTGAGTTCAAAGCACTCCAACTACTGTCTTCCAACTATTCTCTAGACTAGCAGTGGTCCGTAAAAGGTTGTTCAAAATTGCCATTAATCAGAGCAGTCTTTGTGGGTATCTGTCTTATGATACAGGTATGCTCAGTAACAGATGCAACAGAGAATAACAGTCCTCTTTGCCCTCATTTTCTTTAGATCGTCTTAGGCTGTACCTTCCAGCAGGTATTCCTGGGGGAGTTCTGCTCCACTGTGTGCACACAGTATTAATCTCCAGTGAAAATTTTTTTCCAGCAGAAAATCCATTGTCTGGGAGGTGCTGACGTTCCACCTTTCACCCATCAGGGGCCACTGTGATCCCCAAACAGCTAGCACCAAGCTGCTTTCATCATAGCACCTTGCCTATCGAGTCATTTTAGGACAGAGTGGAGTATATAAGGCTGCTAGGTGGTCACAAGCTGGAGTTCAGAGGGATACTGGGGTAAAAGAGACTGGGGTATGGACTCACAAGCTAGTGGGTAACAGGCTTGAGCCAGAAGCTGAATGGGAGGGACACTATAGGGCCACATGGGGATGGAGAGGTGCAGAGACACAGAGACAGGAACAGATGTGCCTGACCGAATGGGAGTCTTGGGTACAGGACACTCCCAAACCACCTAGCAATCCACCTTCCAACCACCACAGAAAACCTTTTTCATACTTCTCCCACCTACACTCAACAACCCTCCAGGTTTATTCCCACTGTGCTTACCCGTCCCTTAGCTCCTCCATTACCTCTGACTCCCCCAATCCTTTGCACTGCTTTTGAGGAGAATGGAAAACATGTGTCTGTATTGTAGTTTCTGTATTACTCGAAGTTTTGTATGAATATGCCTCGTAAGGAACCTACATGTCAGAAATACATTACCTTAATTTTTTTTGTTTCTGTAATGTTAGCTCACCAGTATTTTGAAGTAAATTATGCAGAATTTTTCAAATGTTGTGTGCAGAATTTTTATTTTTTTGGGGTGCAGAATTCTCTAAGGAGTAAAAGAGTTTTAGTTTAGAACTGGGGCAAGTGTTTTTCAGGAATAAACTTCTTTAGTTTTAAAGATCTCTCATGCCTTCTCTGCATATAATTATAAAAAAGAAAACACACACATTTTTTTCTTCTCCACTTTAAAAGCTTAGAAGCACATATACTACTATTAATTTCTGTACAAAGCTCCAATTGATTTTCGTTAGAATTTAAGGTCAAATGTATTACTCAAGTGATTGCTTAGAATCTGACAAACAGAACTATTTTAACTTTTCTGCTCTCTAAAAGCATAAGAAAACTCAGCAAGTTATGAAGTTTGCTAGTGAAAAAAAATTAAGAAAATAAATTACACCAGTAAGAGATTTAGACAATTTCCACTTTTTTGTTTAAAAGACATTATGGAGCTATGCTTATACCTCCGCCAACCTGTAATACTTCAGATTGGAAGCAGGTTCTACTATAATAATAAGTGCGAAAAAAAGGTAAGCATCATTAGATCTGTAGCTGGGTTAACAGTGAATTTGTACGAAAGATGCCTACAGCATGGAAAGTTTCCCTTTTTTTTTTTTAAGTCTATTTACATTGAAACATAAAATAAACTTTGTCCTTATTTTGAGCCTCCACATAATTCTGGTTGGGAAAACAGGCTGCTCAACCTGAAATTAACAGGTTTGCTCTAAAGACAAAGGAGAATTTTCTGCCAATTTTAAAGCAAACTGGTCAAACTGAATTATAAAGTGGATGAAAATTATTCATTTGGAATTCTGATAAATGTAACAGTGTTCTAGATCCCATTAGCTCAGCATTGTCTGGTTAGTACTCCTTGAAATTTTTCCCATACATTTAAATCTTCTCCAAATTTGTGCTCAGGCTATCCGAAGAAACTGCTTTGAAATGGAAAAATGTTACTAAGACAGTTGGGCTACATCTAAATTGGCATGATCTCGTGCAGATACTCTTTAACGCAAGAGTTCTTGCGTTAAAGTATTTGCGCAAGAGAGCGTCTACACTGGCATGTGCTTTTGCGCAAGAGATGTGGTTTTGCGCAAGAGCATCTGTGCTAGTGTAGACGCTCTTGCGCAAGAAAGCTCCGATGGCCATTTTAACCATCGGGCTTTCTTGCGCAAGAAATTCATGTTGCCTGTCTACACTGGCCTCTTGCGCAAGAACAGTTGTGCAAGAGGGCTTATTCCCGAGCGGGAGCATCATAGTTCTTGCACAAGAAGTACTGATTTCACACATTAGAACGTAAGTGTTACTGCACAAGAACTCCCCACCACTCTGGTGTCACCGTCAGTGGAGGACCCCATCTCCTTGCTGCTCCTGCCAGACCTGTTGACACAGGAGCTGGACCAGGGTCACCTGTGCCACCCAAACCTGCAATCCTTCCACCTCAACCTGGAAAATCTGTAGTTGAGGGGTGGGGAATGTCTATGTTCAGACCCGGTTAGGTGGGTACTGATGGAACTAATGAGCTAGAATGGAATCTCTCTGAGCCATCCACTGACAGGCTTTATATGGGGCTATTCAGCCTTTTGCAAAGACTATTGTCTCCCAATTACTCACCAGGTGTGTGAAATTAAATAGGTGTCAAGGGGGGAAAAAAAAGTGCAAAAAAACCAAAAATGAACAAGCCCCTACTATGCATGTGTACCGTGTTCTGTGTGTGTGGGGGGAGGGGAGGGGGGGAAATGGTGTAGGAATGTCACCCATTCACTGTGAGTATATCACCCAAGAATGCCTAGCTGCATTGTGTTTTAAGAATCCTCTCCGTAGTTGCCAAGCATTGGAGAGATTTTTCTGTCTTAAGATAAAGACCTATGTTTTTTGGACCTGTAGACTTGGTTTTAGTTGATGCAGGTGGTATTTCTTTAGTAATTTATAGCTGTGAAAATCAATGAAGTAGAGCTTGTCAGGCTTTTGGGTTGATTGATGGGTATCCAGCCATGTCCCCAAAAGGTTCTGGACTCATATTGCTCATTGAGAGAAATATGACTCCATATCAGTTTTATAAATTTTGCTAAAACAAAAATAAAGTCATAGGAACATGTAAGTAAACTACGCTATACTGTATTCATAATATTAAATTACCCAAGATATATGTTTGTACAGTGTCTAGCAGAATGGACTCCTGGTCCATGACTAGGTTTCTTGGGCGCTACGGTACCACTTAAATAAAGCAATACAACTATCAAACTAACAAATTGGCCTCTGTATTGGACTGTAGTTAAACCATTAATCCTTACAATTTCTAAGACTGTATGAGAAGGTGATTGTTTGGTTATAAATCCCAACTAAAAAAAATTTAACCAATGTCTATCAGGTTTATAATTTCAATGGCTAAGTAGTTTAATGAAAACAAATTATTCTCTAATGTCTGTAACACAATCTGAGAATTATAATACTCTGCCTTAGGACTTGACATTTCTGTGAGCTGTCTAACTCTTTCTACTCTTCTCCCCTCACTCCTGCCTGGAGATTACATAATACAGACATTAACTGCACACTTTTGATAAGCAGAAATTTGAAACTATCAGAATCTCAAGTGTGACAATCTCAAGTCTCAGATTTTTAAACACTGTCGATCAACTAGAATGGGTAATTTGATAAGGTAACAGTTAGGGCTGTTTCCAGATACCTTCCCATGCGAACAAAAACACCAAGAAGGAGCTAGATCTGCAGTTAAGGAGCCAGGCAGTGAAGTTCTGCAAGCAGAGCACTAGCAGATCTTCTTTGGGTGCAGGGAGACTGATCAAGGGCTGACATGGCCTCTTCATTGGTATTGTGACTTCTTCTCAAAGTTGCTGGCCTTATAGGATCTGGAACATCACTCTTCCCTCTCACCTGGCTTGTTGATCTGAAAGACTAGGTGTTTCAACTTTACCCTTGATTCTTATGGTTGGTGAGCTTTGCTCACTCCATCTTGCAACATTTTCCTCCAATGTCTTTGGGGAAGTCCAGTGTGAAGGCTATTTGGAGTCATGCAAATTGATGCAATTACGTTTGAATTAACTCACCCTTTGTGATTATTAAGTTCCACTTAAATCAGCAATTCACAACATATTTGATGTTTAGATAGCCGAGACTGACATTGGTAACTTGCCAAACTATATAAAAAACCTGGATACAAGGGACCATTTTGGAGAAACTGGTATAGGAGCTTGGTGAAAAGATCTTGAGATGATACTGTGTCACCAGTTTATGGAAAGTTAGACATTACAATTCTGATCACTTGGACACCTTTTCAATAGTCACTCAATATTCACTCATCAGTAAAATTGAAAATTATCTGTTTCATCATCACCACTTCTTAGTCTTCTTGAAACAAAGCAATTACAGCACTTGAACAATTATTATACCAGACAAACAATTTGTTGTCTGGAATCTACATCTTAACAGAGAAAAGTTACTTAAAAACCTTTGAAGACACCTATTCAAGCAATAAAAATTGTGAATTTCTATAAAGGTCTGTATAGCCATAAAAAATTATTGTTCTCATATGGCAATCAGGTAATTTCAGAATAGTACCAGATATTTTTTTCCTCTTCATGACAACAATTGGCTAAATTGTTTAGCTTTATGCATAATTAAAACAACATGATGGAGTCACACAGAAGAGGCTCCATATTAAGAATGTATCTAAAGATCCAACCTAAGACCCTTCTTTTCACAGTCCGAAAAACTATTTCCAGCTACGTCTCCAGTGATGTATCACTCCCATGGACTATTACCTAACAATTACTCAACACAAGTCAAACTGATCCCTCATAAAACTATGTTCTCTGTTGCCCCTCCCCCACCCCAATATTATCTTTCCATTGACTGTCACTGTTCACTTCTGGACTCCCAACAATGCTATTGTATAAGCAAAGGAAGACCTGGAAAAGTAAAAGGGGAAGTAAAGAATTATTGAGCTGGCCAGGTTGCAAGCATGTCCTTGGATGGACTCCACAGCTACAGTGACCCAGACAGCTCTGCTTCCTTCCAGCCTACCTTAGCATACTTCCTTAGTTGCTTAGCCTACCTATCTATCTGGTCAGTCATGGAGGCAGGGTAGCAGCAGCAAAGAATGGAAATAGCCAGGGTTCCCAATTTAATTCTCACTCATCCCCTCAGCAGAGCTGCGCAGCTGCGGCCTCAGCTGCTCCTGGGGGCAGGGCCACAGGCAGGGGTCTGTCCACCCCAGTGAGCCAATGTAGACACAACCTTGTAGTTCTGATTAAAGGTTATTATTATAGCACATGTATGAGAGAGAGTGTAAATCAGGATGACAGATATTAAGACCCTCAATGGAAGTGCCAAACTATTTTGCTGATTTAGCCTTGAATTAGATGAGGTGAAATGTTATTAGAATCAGCTAAGGAAGAAAAAATAAAACTGAGTTATTCTTTAAAATGATTGAGCTAAAAGGAGGACAGGAAATCTGAGGGAAGCCCTGGAGTTAAAAACAGTGAAAAGATGCTTGAGGGTTATTGGAAAACTGGTAAATAGAAGTCCTGCCTTGAGATTCTTACATGTTTCTAAACCTGCGGAATAAATGCACACTCCAGGAAGAAAGATAAATCCTGAACAAGCCCCTACTATGCATGTGTACCGTGTTCTGTGTGTGTGGGGGGAGGGGAGGGGGGGAAATGGTGTAGGAATGTCACCCATTCACTGTGAGTATATCACCCAAGAATGCCTAGCTGCATTGTGTTTTAAGAATCCTCTCCGTAGTTGCCAAGCATTGGAGAGATTTTTCTGTCTTAAGATAAAGACCTATGTTTTTTGGACCTGTAGACTTGGTTTTAGTTGATGCAGGTGGTATTTCTTTAGTAATTTATAGCTGTGAAAATCAATGAAGTAGAGCTTGTCAGGCTTTTGGGTTGATTGATGGGTATCCAGCCATGTCCCCAAAAGGTTCTGGACTCATATTGCTCATTGAGAGAAATATGACTCCATATCAGTTTTATAAATTTTGCTAAAACAAAAATAAAGTCATAGGAACATGTAAGTAAACTACGCTATACTGTATTCATAATATTAAATTACCCAAGATATATGTTTGTACAGTGTCTAGCAGAATGGACTCCTGGTCCATGACTAGGTTTCTTGGGCGCTACGGTACCACTTAAATAAAGCAATACAACTATCAAACTAACAAATTGGCCTCTGTATTGGACTGTAGTTAAACCATTAATCCTTACAATTTCTAAGACTGTATGAGAAGGTGATTGTTTGGTTATAAATCCCAACTAAAAAAAATTTAACCAATGTCTATCAGGTTTATAATTTCAATGGCTAAGTAGTTTAATGAAAACAAATTATTCTCTAATGTCTGTAACACAATCTGAGAATTATAATACTCTGCCTTAGGACTTGACATTTCTGTGAGCTGTCTAACTCTTTCTACTCTTCTCCCCTCACTCCTGCCTGGAGATTACATAATACAGACATTAACTGCACACTTTTGATAAGCAGAAATTTGAAACTATCAGAATCTCAAGTGTGACAATCTCAAGTCTCAGATTTTTAAACACTGTCGATCAACTAGAATGGGTAATTTGATAAGGTAACAGTTAGGGCTGTTTCCAGATACCTTCCCATGCGAACAAAAACACCAAGAAGGAGCTAGATCTGCAGTTAAGGAGCCAGGCAGTGAAGTTCTGCAAGCAGAGCACTAGCAGATCTTCTTTGGGTGCAGGGAGACTGATCAAGGGCTGACATGGCCTCTTCATTGGTATTGTGACTTCTTCTCAAAGTTGCTGGCCTTATAGGATCTGGAACATCACTCTTCCCTCTCACCTGGCTTGTTGATCTGAAAGACTAGGTGTTTCAACTTTACCCTTGATTCTTATGGTTGGTGAGCTTTGCTCACTCCATCTTGCAACATTTTCCTCCAATGTCTTTGGGGAAGTCCAGTGTGAAGGCTATTTGGAGTCATGCAAATTGATGCAATTACGTTTGAATTAACTCACCCTTTGTGATTATTAAGTTCCACTTAAATCAGCAATTCACAACATATTTGATGTTTAGATAGCCGAGACTGACATTGGTAACTTGCCAAACTATATAAAAAACCTGGATACAAGGGACCATTTTGGAGAAACTGGTATAGGAGCTTGGTGAAAAGATCTTGAGATGATACTGTGTCACCAGTTTATGGAAAGTTAGACATTACAATTCTGATCACTTGGACACCTTTTCAATAGTCACTCAATATTCACTCATCAGTAAAATTGAAAATTATCTGTTTCATCATCACCACTTCTTAGTCTTCTTGAAACAAAGCAATTACAGCACTTGAACAATTATTATACCAGACAAACAATTTGTTGTCTGGAATCTACATCTTAACAGAGAAAAGTTACTTAAAAACCTTTGAAGACACCTATTCAAGCAATAAAAATTGTGAATTTCTATAAAGGTCTGTATAGCCATAAAAAATTATTGTTCTCATATGGCAATCAGGTAATTTCAGAATAGTACCAGATATTTTTTTCCTCTTCATGACAACAATTGGCTAAATTGTTTAGCTTTATGCATAATTAAAACAACATGATGGAGTCACACAGAAGAGGCTCCATATTAAGAATGTATCTAAAGATCCAACCTAAGACCCTTCTTTTCACAGTCCGAAAAACTATTTCCAGCTACGTCTCCAGTGATGTATCACTCCCATGGACTATTACCTAACAATTACTCAACACAAGTCAAACTGATCCCTCATAAAACTATGTTCTCTGTTGCCCCTCCCCCACCCCAATATTATCTTTCCATTGACTGTCACTGTTCACTTCTGGACTCCCAACAATGCTATTGTATAAGCAAAGGAAGACCTGGAAAAGTAAAAGGGGAAGTAAAGAATTATTGAGCTGGCCAGGTTGCAAGCATGTCCTTGGATGGACTCCACAGCTACAGTGACCCAGACAGCTCTGCTTCCTTCCAGCCTACCTTAGCATACTTCCTTAGTTGCTTAGCCTACCTATCTATCTGGTCAGTCATGGAGGCAGGGTAGCAGCAGCAAAGAATGGAAATAGCCAGGGTTCCCAATTTAATTCTCACTCATCCCCTCAGCAGAGCTGCGCAGAGGGTACTAAAAATAGCATCATGGCCCAGCTCCAGTCCCAGCACACAGGACAGCCACCCGCCACATGCCCAGCTCTTTTTTTTGGGGTGGGAGGGGGAGAAGAGGGCGCTGTGGCTGTGTGGTGGCTGCTGGGACCAGGACCATGGTGCTAAAAATAGCACCACGGCCCCTGCTTCAGTTCTGGCACACATGGTGTGCTGACCCATGTGCTGGGACTGGCACTGGGCCATAGTGCAGTTGCTCCTGGGCTGCGGCTGCAGTATTAAAAATAGCACCATGGCCCTGGCCCTGGCTCTGGCACACAGGGCAGCCACCTGGCATGCTGCCCTGGCCATCAGGTGTTAGGATGGTAGAAAGTTAGGGAAGGGGAAGGTGGGGTGAGGAGAGAAAGGGGCTTGTGCTGAGGAGAGAAGAGAAGAAAGGGGAAGGCACCAAGGGGCAGGGTGGAGGAGAGAGAAATGCCAGGGGGCCAAGAGGAGACAATAAGGGAAAATGGCAGGAGTGGGAGTGGGGAAATGGGAGTAGAAGAGGAAGAGGGGAGGGGACAGGGTGATGCTGGGAGAAGAGAGGGGAGGGGCAGTTGGGGAAAGAGGAAGGAAGAGGAGTGGGTGATGGGAGAAGAGGGGTTGAAAGGAGGAAGGCAGGGATTGGAACAAATCACATGTGAGGACACAGAAGGGCATGAGGAGAACTAGGGTAGAGGGTGGTGAGGGGATGGGCAGGGAGAAAGAGGGCAAGGAGGGCAGGGGGAGTGAGGGAAGGGGGAGGCGCCAGGATGGTGCAGAGGGTAAGGGAAGGTGCAGGTGCCAGGGGGATTGTGGGGGTGAAGCAGAAGGGCAGACATGGGGAGGGATATTGGAGGGGAGGGAGGGGTATCAGAGGGCAGAGGAAAGTGGCAGGGAAGGTGGATAGAGGGAGGTGTTAGGAGAAGGGTTAGGGAGGGAAGGTAGACAAGGGAAGGCATGGGGGGAAGGGAAGGGCAGATGCAGGGGTCAGAGAGGATGGGGAGGTGGGGCAAGTCCCAGGAGGGCTGAAAGGAAGTGAGAAGGGCAGGACCCAGGACAACAGAGGAGGGTGAGGGGTACGGGGAGCAGCAGCAGGCACCAGGGGAAAGGATGGGGTGAGGGGAGGATGGGAGACATGGCAGCAGAGGGGAAAAGGGAGAAGTTTATAACTTGGGTGCCAAAGTGGCACACATATGAACAAACGCACATGACCTCAATACTGGTACACAAGACAAAACTCACTCCGCTCATGGATGGAAAATCTTAGAGGGAACACTGGAAATAGCTGGTGGAACTTAGCAGTTATATAAGCTTTTCCTTGTAGGGATCAAGCAGGTTAGAGATAGAGCTCTTACTTGCTGTAATATTTTAATAGAACATACAATGTGGCCTACATCTGAGTTGCCACATGAATGAATGTATGAAGTTTGGAGCAACTGTGATAAAGCTAGAACAGCTAAAAATCTCTCAGGTGAAGTTTCAAAGAAATACAGACAATTCAGATGGCCCAAGAAAAGTTAGGGTATTAAATGTGGAAATTGAACTCAATCAAGGAATTTTATTCTTGCTTCAAGAGCAACTATAACTGCACATCCACCAGTGCACCTCAGTAATATATATAACAATTAAATATATTGCTGTCAACAGAATTTTTCTGAAACTTATACAAGAGCCAATTATACTAGATTGAAATAGGGTTTCGTACTGGGATTTTTTGAACATGTTTCCAATATGATTCCATTATAGAACACACAGATTCTTCCTGGTATTTAACGGAGATCCATTTAGCAGAATTAATCTGATGATCTCTATTAAGAAAAGATAATGCTGAGATCAAAACTTCTCACAGGTAAAGGGAGATGGAACGGGAGGTTCTGGTTTGAACAGTTTTTAGATGAAATGTGGATTCTTTTTATGATAAAAGACAACCCTAAGGGTACGTCTAGACTACATGCCTCTGGCGATAGAGGCATGTAGATTAGGCTACCCGACAGAGTAAAATGAAGCGGCGATTTAAATAATCGCCGCTTCATTTAAATTTACATGGCTGCCCCGTTGAGCCGACAAACAGCTGATCAGCTGTTTGTCGGCTCAGCGCGGCAGCCATGTAAATTTAAATGAAGCGGCGATTATTTAAATCGCCGCTTCATTTTACTCTGTCGGGTAGCCTAATCTACATGCCTCTGTCGCCAGAGGCATGTAGTCTAGACGTACCCTAAGATCCATTATTATAGAGCCTTCATAGATATATGCTGATGACGCAGATTAAAGACTAACCACTTGTGATATGGCATCCTTTGAATAACTAATTGTTTTTAGAATGTTTGGCAAAAGCAAGGTGACTACTCTCTCCTATCCAAAGAGTGCCTGACACTATCTGCTACTGTAATATTTCCAAAATGGTATTTTTTAGATCACTGCTGCACAGGAAGCTTGCTCTTTTATCTCAGAGGAAAACTGATGACTATCAATCAAAAATTTAGATTTAGTTCCTCTAGCAACTTAAAAAACAAAACAAAACAAAGATTTACTGGATTACCTAGTCAATGGGAACTCTGCACCTATGTTTACAAACCAGATGATCCTATGGAGTCCCTGTACTGGATTGCAATGGGAAGTGTTTACTTGTGCAGATTACTTGGATGAGTTGATCATATTATTGTCAGATGTGAAGTCACAAAGTCTTGCAATTCTGGGTGACTTCACTAACCATGGAGACAAACTCTTGCAGATTTACTCAAGAGCTCTTAAGAACCAAGAGCTGTCTCTGGTGCGCTTTCACTTAATATACCTAGTTGGCCACAGTATAGATTTTTTTGAGGGGGTTTGAATTAGAGAACCAGAACACTGCTTCCTATGGTTAGTCGCCAGGGCTCACAGTTTGAGGTGGAAGACTCGTTTTAAGTAGTCTGTCTTGGAGATTAATGAAAATTGGCTAGACTTTAAAACTCTTGGAGGAAGTATATTCTAAACCCAATGGACTATTCCAACAACAACTAATTGGAACACATTTTTCAATCTTTATAATAAAATACTCTCAAATGTCTCACCTCTCTGTGTCATTCCCAGTCACAGTCATCCTTGTGAATCTGAGCCACCTCCACTAATACAGAGTTGAGAATTTTTCAATCAGAATGTTTCTACTACTTCAGAGAAGACTGATTGGGTTCCAATGAAATTTGCACTTTGATGGAAAAACTGTCAT